AGCTATCAAGTTGCAAGATATCAGGTTTCAAGCTATCAAGTTGCAAGATATCATGTTTTGAGGCTATCGAGTTTCAAGACATCAGATTTCAAGCTATCAAGTTGCAACTTTCTTACACATTACATGGACAAGATACTTGAATAAGCTCCTCAGTTCATTCTGAACGAAGAACCCATCGGTTTTAACGTAGGTTTTTACGAATTGTACGCGATCATTTATAGGTCAATTTTTTATTTGAAGAAAGGGTACCCTTCTGCCGAGCAACGCGACAAAATATCCAGGAGAAGGGACGACGGGGGCAGTTTATTTGCACTCTAAGAGGCGAAGAACGCTGAAAGAGAAAGACGCCGGGAGCAAAGTTTTAATTGTAAGGCCACCCCTGACTCCGGCCGTTTCAGCGCCCGTCGGCATCCGAAGAGATTTCGAGATACTTTGACGCAGGAATGGTATTTGATTAAAAGAGCTGCAGGAATTGTCGATTTATATTAAAATTTAATCGGCACGAAATCCAACAAACGAAATGCGCAATACGTTTGTACAGTTCGTTTCACGGGACGTTTTCCTGATTGGATTCGAAGTTAATAAAAAAATTTGCAGTCTTCGGAAAAAATTATTCCATTTCGAATTACAAAGGAAAGACCACAGAAAATTCGGAAAATGTTTTCCCGAAGGGAAGCAATTCACGATGGACACTGATAACGGCGTAGCATCCGACCAACCGAGCAAAAAGCATTTTTTGTCGTCGATAACGGGGAATATCCAGAATTCCGGAAGCGCAGGCCGGTTAAAACGGAAGGAGAACTTGCATGGCTCTCGCCTCTCTTCCGCGCTATCGTTCTTTGTTCCTCCTTTCTCTTCCATTGCTGTCACAGCGAAATTTCCCACGTGCTTGATCACGTCTCAGATTTCGTTGCGTCGTTATTATTTTTTTCCCTCTTTCTCTCTTCGCTCTCCTTTCTCCCTCTCCGGTCTCCTTTGTCGCACAGAGGAGGATTCAGAATGTCAGCAATGTTCGATGAAAGTGGATGCCCGGTGCATGTGTTATTGGATACCTTTTTAGGATACCTTTCACGAGAGACCCGGCTGGCGAGGAATAAATTGATTAAAATTCTTCTATCCTGTGAAATGATGCGATTCTTTGCGTCCATTAAAGGAATGCTTTTCATAAATTATGCCGCTCTTATCATTTTTTATGAAAGGCATACACGCTTCTTATCGCGTCATATTTACTGCGCCATTGTTAATACATTCTGAGCCATACTAATAGATTCAGAGGAGAATCACCAGCGAAGCATATCAGTCGATAAACCTAACGATTTCTCTCCTCGTTCCACATAATTTCACCCGGGGAACATCGAGTTTCCGCGTTTCTTCGCCCTCATCCACTTTTCCTAACGAAGTTTACGTTATGCTCGGTCACGTTTTGGAGACACACTGCCATGATTCTCGCCCTCCTTACCCCGCCGGCTTTTCTTTGCACTATCACGGTGCTCAACCCTGCGTCCCTGGAGAAAGGAGAGTCACTCTCGTCATCAACGACGAGCCCTCAAATTGAGATGCGCCTCGTCGGCCACGCAGTTCTGTTTCATCCCCCCTTTCAACGAGCACATTATGCAATGAGGGTCCTTGTCAAGGCGAGGGTGCTCATCGGTGAAACACGGCTAGTCTAAGGTGGTCCCACGGACTTGAAAACATTTCTTGCCCGTCGAGTAACGGTCTGTTAAAAGTTAGATTAGTCTGAGCAGCCTGAAAGCCCTAATGACTAAATGACAAAGAGAGAGAGAACGGCTGGAAATGAGGTTAAGTAGCTCTCCGCCGTGATTCGGGTTAGAGCCATGGACCGAGACAAGATTTTGCCGTGGCAATCCTACCGTGATGGCTGAAATAATGCTTTCCATGTTAAGAGCTAAACATTCGAGGAAAGTGTGTTTAGGGTTCCATTACGAAATTTGATGCGCAAAAATTTCACCAAACTAAGATCGTAAGAATTGACATCGCCTCAGACCCCATCACAGAAATCATTTAGCTCAGTCAGCACGGAAAGAACCATTCGGACCCTCGGAGCTGATAAGAGATAAATTACAAGACACAGAAGGCTCGTAATGAAATCTACCCGGCGGTCAGCCAGTACATAATCTACGTCAGACACGAGCCGCTTGCTCGTACATGTATAAATCTACGGGGACAAAAACGAAGGCAGACAGGCGAGCACACCAGCACAACTCACAGCGGTGTGTCCCGTGTCTGCGGTATCGAGCAATGAAGAGGAGCCGTCTAAGCCCCGGCTAAACACGGCACAGTGTCTATAACTCTCAGAACTCGTCCGTCTCGAATTAACCTCTCTCAATTAAGACAATGGTACCCTCAGTCCCCCGGACATCCTCTTCTCGTCGAGGCGGCAATGGAGCACCCGAAAGGAGGGACCTCAGAGGTTCTCAGAGCTGGTCAAACGTTACCAAGGTATCTATATTTATGGAAAACGAGGGTCTTGCCAGGGTGGGCTAGGTGGACAGCTGCTGGGAAAGGAAATGAGAAACTGCTCCTTTGGAGCGTGATGAACTCTGATTTTGATGTCTGTTGGGATTCTTTCTTCTTGGAGATATTTATTCTGTGCCTGAATAAATGGGTACATTTTTAAAGCTTACTGCGTTAGGTCTCGTAGTATAACCTCTCGTTGGGTCTCATGGAATAACCTATAAGGAATGACCTAGGTGCTAATGTGGAGGTAATGGAAACTTCGTGGAGGTAATCTAATGGATATCTTAATTTAAGGGAGATTCTAACTTCAATGAGAGTTTCACTCGGTGGAAGTTCTAACTTGAGATTTTGACGTAGGTCAGATTGTAGCGTAGGTTCCAGTATAGTGGACGTCCAGTTCGAGACCAATTCAGTTCCTGACTCAATAGGTCTAACCCGGTGCAGGTCCTAAGCGAATGGGAATCACAATCTAATGATAGCTGCCCAGGGAAATCCACATCCTAAGTAGATCCTAAGTGCTAGTCCTAACAGATGTATTGAGATTCTGATGTGGGTCACATTGTGACTTAGGTCCACATCCAGTGGAGGTCGTCCAGTTCCGGACCAATGATTCTGACCCAATAGGTCTAACCCAGGTCCTAACTGAATGAGAATTACAATCTAATGATAGCTTCCCAGGGTGATTCACATCCTATGTAGATCTTAAGTGTTAGACCTAACACAGGTGTGTTGAGATTCTGATGTGGGTCACATTGTGACTTAGGTCCACATCCAGTGGAGGTCGTCCAGTTCCGGACCAATGATTCTGACATAATAGGTCTAACCCAGGTCCTAACTGAATGGGAATCGCAATCTAATGATAGCTGCCCAGGGAAATCCACATCCTAAGTAGATCCTAAGTGCTAGTCCTAACACAGGTGTGTTGACATTCTGATGTGGGTCACATTGTGACTTAGGTCCACATCCAGTGGAGGTCGTCCACTTCCAGACCAAGTCAAATTCTAACCCCACAGAGGATCTAGCCTAATGTAGAACCTAACTAAATGAAAATCCCAATCTAACGATAGCACCCTTGGATCCTCCTGTAGATCCAAAGTGTTGGTCCCAACTCAGATATGTTGAGATTCTGACGTATGTCACATTGTGACTTAAGTCCCAATCCAATGGAGGTTATCCAGTATCAGACCAATGATTCTAACAATAGGTCTAACCCAAGCCAATCAAAAGGAAATACCAATAGAGCAAACCCATCACACAATACAGATCCTAAATGTACCAATAGAGTTTCCAATAAGTCGAAATTCCTATAAAAACAAGTGACAAATACAAAGAGACCACTCAGATGCCCTCTGAACTCGATTCCATAACTATGAGCTGTCGACAATGGTGAGAGCACTTCTGTTAGTCTGGAACTATGGTCACAAGGTGTATCGATCAGACTGAAGCAACTGCGATCGAAGCAACACGATGTCACGGACCTAGAAGCACTCGGAAAACGTGGATACACGAATAGAGGAGCATCGAAGAGGCAAGAAGCGTCGATACGCTCCTCTCTTCCCTTTCAACGATTGCTTCGTCTCTGGAAGGAGCACTCTCGCTTTCAGCCAAGACGATGGGGCTTATCGATTAATCGGCCTGGCCAGGCAGACAACTTCAACCAATTGGCTGGTCGACTCGGGATCGAGTCGGGATTCGATCTGGCCACGTTTATCTTCGCCAGACCAGCTACTCTGCCCTTGCATGTGTTCGACGCCGAGGAGAACGTCCGGGAGGAAATGAATCGTTCCGCGGGAAACGTGACGAATGTTGAACTGAATTCGCTTAAGGAATCAAAGTGAAGATGTTCAGGCTCGATATTTGTGACTGAAAATTTCGTTCGAAGAGAAAATTAAATTTGAACTTTTGAAAGAGATGATTTGAAATTTCGAAGAAAAAAATGTCGGGTACCGTTTTCAAAGACCCAATTCCATTTAAGTTCCCAACCGTTTCTCTATCAAATATTTCTATCTCCGGACCGTTTTCCAACTAAAAGTTCACGCGAAAGGCGACGAAAATTTCTGGAAATCTCGTGGCGGATGATAATTCGGGCAAAAATTAATTCAACCGAAGGTCGGGTCCGCATATTACGGAAACGTTTCCAGAGAAAGGAGCCCGGGCTCACGATCATTTCCGTCTCCCGTTCACGTATGGGGAATCGTGTTTAAAATTCATTTCCCTCTAACGACCGTTTAATCAACTCCTCTTCTTCGCCTTTGCTTTCAAATTATATTCTTTCGCTTCCCTTCCGCGGGCAACGCGGACCAGGGGTCAAAGTTTTTCTTTGGCCGGAGTAAATAGAGCCACCGGTTTCAATGAAAATGAGAGCTTTCCATTTTATGGAAATCGAGCTTCCCTTTCTGAATCACTTTTATCTCTGATTTCGAAATAATTTCGCGGACGAATGGCTGTCCACGGGTAATAAAAATGTTAGCTCGGGCAAAGATACGTTCTGAACGATGAAAGACATAAAAATCGAAACTCACCACTTTTATGAGCGCACTGTAATTCTCTAGAGACGTCCTGTTCTCTCTGGAATCACCGCATTGTACATCGGAAATGGCAAACTCTGCAAAAAATAGAAATCACAGGATTACGAATAGTTCTGTGGAATTAATCATTACTTTTGAACTGCCCTGTATCTTCAAACTACACCATTCTTTAAATACTATAATAATTTGAAGCAGTCGTTTATAAGAAACTGAATTATGAAGTATATAACATGTTTACGTTCAAGAAAGTTGTTTTTGAATCACCTTGTAGAGCTCATACGATTTCAATATATTAATTGGACAAACACAATGTTCATAACAATTTGTACCAATCACTTCTGTTCAGAGTAAAAGGCCTAAGACGACGTTTATGTATACTATAACACCACTTTTGAATCATCCTATAAGAACATAATGATCTTTACCATATTTCAATTGGTCAAACATAGTGTGCATAACAATCTGAGCAACCATTTACATTCAGAGTATAAGTTAAAACCATTAGAAACATGTTTATAGACATTGTAAGACCACTTTTGAATCAACCTATACGAACATAATGATCCTTACTATATTTCAATTGGACAAACATAGTGTGCATAACAATCTGAACAACTATTTATATTCAGAGTATAAGTTAAAATCATTAGGACCATGTTTATAGACATTGTAACACCACTTTTGAATGGACCTATACGAATATAATGATCCTTACTATATTTCAATTGGTCAAACATAGTGTTCATAACAATCTGAACAACTATTTATATTCAGAATATAAGTTAAAACCATTAGGACCATGTTTATAGACATTGTAAGACCACTTTTAAATCAACCTATACGAACATAATGATCCCTACTACATTTCAATTGGTCAAACATAGTGTTCATAACAATTTGCACTACCCATCTGTGGTCAGAGTATAAATTAAAACCACTCAAGCCATCTAAACCTTGTTTACAGACACTGTAACATCACTTTTGAATCATCCTATACGACCATAATGATCTTTACTATATTCCAATTGGACAAACACAGTGTCAATACCAGTTTGAACTAACTATCTGTGTTCAGAGTATAAAAGAACACCATTGAAGCCATCTAAACCTTATCTATAAACACTGTGACATCACTTTTGAATCATCCTATACGATCATAATGATCTATACCAAATTCCAATTGGACAAACACAGTGTCAATACCAATTTGAACTAACTATCTGTGTTCAGAGTATAAAAAAACACCATTGAAGCCATCTAAACCTTGTCTATAGACATTGTGACATCACTTTTGAATCATCCTATACGATCATAATGATCTATACCAAATTCCAATTGAACGTATCGACTCTACCGACCCTATATATTTCCCAAATTACAGTTGTAGAATAATATTACTGACGGACCACAATTTTTGTAACAGCCAGTAGCAATAGAAGTCACGCGGCGTACAGCTGTCTGACTGAAGTAAGTATTGGTGGAAACACCGGAATCTATCGAGATATGTACGCGCACACATCGACGCGACAAATCCTAGCTCGAGGATACGATATTCTCGGAGCCAGAAAGATCCTGTGGACATCCGTACACAAGAGCTAGGGATCAACACATGTTCACGGAAACCGTGCATCCACGAAGTGGAGCCTGTGGAGTTGGTTCTTCGATGTAATATCTGCAGTCTGGTCCGCAAACAAACTGTTTCTTCAAGCTGCGAGAAACTCTTTGCTGAATCCTTCTTGGAAGTGTATGGTGTCCACATTTTCACTTATGGTGATTTCGAACACTTGGTAAGCTTATGATATTATCATACGTAATACACTCGCGTTTAGACAATTTATACAAATTTTTTTCATGCAAAATTGATTGTCGAAAGGCTAAATAGAATTACCGCGCAAGTAATTTAACTATGAAGTCGTTTTGTGTATAAATTTCCTTGAAATGCATTGAACGGATGTTAAATCCGATATGCAGATACCTCTCTAAGAATATGATATTTGAGCGATGCGGATCAATATATCTGGAATATGCAGTTTGCATTTGTATGACGTCATGACAATATGGCAGGCTGACAGTGAATCATTAAATTCTTCCGTTTCTATACGCTTTTCTTGCCTCACATCAGTTCGATGCCAAATTAATTCACGATATTAGAGCATGAACGCGTCGTACCCTACTGAAAGCATAACGTTGTAACCGGAAACCATTTAATATTTCGCGGTCGAATATGTTCCTTTTGTTTCGTGATTGCTGATGCACGTTAATTTGAAATATTAAAACGTCCCCGGATTACAAGCAAGACAAAAAGCATTGTTACGCGTGACAATGCAATATTCGACCATTTAAAACTTTTTGCATTTTTCAAATAATATTTATCGCGATAAACATATCCAGTTTAACCACAATGAAGCGTAATCTTGCAGCGAGCAAATAGGGATGCCAAATATGGCGCGGATTAAGTCCAGGTCAGGTCTGGGCTAGCATTTAATATGCAACAATTAGGTTAACATATATGAGGTCTAATGGATAAACTTTAATTACACGAAACGGAATTTTAAATTTACTTGCAAATGAATTTGCACGGATGGTTTGAGGTTAGGTGCAGATTGAGGTCGGAACGAATGTAGGTTAGGTTATGATACTCGATATTACGCTTAAACATAGTACCAGTTTCGTATAATCTAAGTTATGAATTAAACACTGCGAGCTGCGGAAGATTACATTCTACAATATCCAAGTAAAGATACATTGTACGCCACAAGTGTGAATGGCGAAAGAGGGCGATATACCGCGAGCATTGTTACACAAATATATGAACAAATCGAAACTTTCCATTCTAAATTGAAATTGAACGTAATGCAATTTCAGTTATTTACATCGTCCCGTTTGCATGAATGCCTCGTAGAAAGGAATTATTGTTCGCCTGTCGTTTACCGGGAACTTCAGATAAAAGTACATGCAATGTTCGTAAAAAATTCACAGAGCGATTGGTCCCAAGGAGCTAGTAGAAAGAAACCTCCCTTGCAGGGAGTGATCATTTAGCAGCGGAATAAGAGTAAAACAAGTCCTGTGTAAAACACACGCTTAAAAACGCTGCTAGATATTACACCACCGTGGAGACGTTTCTTCTTTCTCTTTATTTCCTCAATGGGGTTATTCCATTACATTATCGTCGTTGCAAGGGCACTTACTGTACTTCGGACTGGTACAAGTAATAACATATTATTGGAACTATGCATTTTATTCTTAGGACTTTTTAAAGAAGACTGTTTTTAGGTTACGTAGGTCAGAATATGAGAAATATACAGGAGGCTATCAAGCTTTAGTTTCAAGTTTCAAGTTTCAAGATATCAAGGCATCAAGTTTCAGGATATCAAGCATCAAGATATCATGTTTCAAGATATCAGGTTACAAGCTATCAAGATTCAAGATATCATATTACAAGCTATCAAGTTTCAAGATACTATGTTTCAAGGTATCAAGTTTCAAGATATCAAGCATCAAGGTATCAAGTTTCAAGATATCAAGCATCAAGGTATCATGTTTCAAGATATCAGGTTACAAGCTATCAAATTTCAAGATATATTACAAGCTATCAAGTTTCAAGATATCATGTTTCAAGGTTTCAAGTTTCAAGATATCAAGCATCAAGGTATCAAGTTTCAAGATATCAAGCATCAAGGTATCATGTTTCAAGATATCAGGTTACAAGCTATCAAATTTCAAAATATATTGCAAGCTAACAAGTTTCAAGATATCATGTTTCAAGTAATCAAGTTGCAGGATATCATGTTTCAAGATATCATGTTACATGCTATTAAATTACAAGATGTCATGTTTCAAGCTACCAAGCTTCAAGATATTATGTTTCAAGCTATCAAGTTATCAAGTTTCAAGTTGTCAAGTCTCAAGTGATTAAGTCTCATGTTATCAAGTCTCATGTTATCAAGTCTTATGTTATCAAGCCCCACGTGATCAGGTCTCAAGTGATCAAGTCTCATGTTATCAAGTCTGATGCTACCAAGTCTCATGTCATCAAGTCTCATGTTATCAAGTCTCATGTTGTCAAGTCTCGTGTTATCAAGCCCCATTTGATCAGGTCTCATGTTATCAAGCCTCATATGATCAGGTCTCAAGTGATCAAGTCTCATGTTATCAAGTCTGATGCTACCAAGTCTCATGTCATCAAGTCTCATGTTATCAAGTCTCATGTTATCAAGTCTTATGTTATCAAGCCCCACGTGATCAGGTCTCAAGTGATCAAGTCTCATGTTATCAAGTCTCATGTGACCAAGTCTCATGTCATCAAGTCTCATATTATCAAGTCACATGTTATCAAGCCTCATGTGATCAGGTCTCAAGTGATCAAGTCTCATGTTATCAAGTCTCATGTGACCAAGTCTCATGTCATCAAGTCTCATGTTATCAAGTCTCATGCTACCAAGTCTCATGTCATCAAGTCTCATGTTATCAAGTCTCATGCTACCAAGTCTCATGTCATCAAGTCTCATGTTATCAAGTCTCATGCTACCAAGTCTCATGTCATCAAGTCTCATGTTATCAAGTCTCATGCTACCAAGTCTCATGTCATCAAGTCTCATGTTATCAAGTCTCATGCTACCAAGTCTCATGTCATCAAGTCTCATGTTATCAAGTCTCATGCTACCAAGTCTCATGTCATCAAGTCTCATGTTATCAAGTCTCATGTGACCAAGTCTCATGTCATCAAGTCTCATGTTATCAAGTCTCATGCTACCAAGTCTCATGCTACCAAGTCTCATGTCATCAAGTCTCATGTTATCAAGTCTCATGTTATCAAGTCTCGTCTTATCAAGTCTCAAGTTATCTCCGCACTTATCTTACGAACTTCAAGTAAGACACTTTGCTGAAGGAGAACTTGTTACATACATCTTGTCCAACGAAACTGAGATTTCATAGTAACCTCTGCTTTTTCAGGTGGAACTTGTTCTGGTTCTGTTGTGAATCTGTTCTGTTTCAGCCATGTTTTCAAAATATATAAGTTAGGATTCATAATCCTAATTGATTTCAGAGATCACATAACTAAGTTTGTCTTGTAATA